CCCCCGCTGNCAGTGGTCCCCAACCCCCGGGCCGCGGACCGGTACCGGTCCGTGGATCAAACGGTACCGGGCCGCCCAAGGAACATTAAATTATTTCCATTTTATTTACTATGGTGTATTTCCTCGGGTTTGTGCGACTTTTAATGGACGACGGAACAACAGAATAAACTGGACGTAAGAAACACACTTCGGGTGTCATTGTCTCCTATTACCCCTAGAGGGAACCGTCTCCTTGCAATGAAACAAGCTCAGGGTTCTCATTGATTTAGCGTTCTAGTGAATTAAAATGTTAAATCACATTATATTCATTTTTTGGTGTAACTGTATTTTATTTTGAAGGCATGTTTAAATACAATTAAATTAAAATTATTAAATTAAGTCAATCTAAAATATAAACAATCAACGTCCCCCCTCAGTGGGCAGCGGTAAAATTATCAAACTATGACCGGTCCGCGGCGATAAAAAGGTTGGGGACCGCTGATCTACAGGGTAAGAGATTTAATTTGATAACTGAACTATGTTTGTACCCTTAGTTGTTCTCTCAAACAAAGCTGACCAATATTTGAGGCTTATCAAATTACCAATAAATATTTAAACATTTGTAATTAAGTTCACATTACCTGTTACAGTCTGTTAATATTATTCTGTAATCAAATTCAGGTGTCAAAGAACAATTATTCTCAAGGCAACATGGTGACAGAAATATAACTTTTCTCTCTTTCCTATCTGTAATAAAAGAAAATATAAATAAAACTATGAACTCTATGAAATGTACCATACATATTGGTTTAATAAAATCTCAGTGAGCTTTCCAATTGAAAACTCTGGTGTGATAAGTCAATAAATTTTATAGCAAATTACATATTTATTGATTTATTGCAATATAAGACAAAAAGCAAATAATTATAATTAATTGATAAAGAATAAATAATGCCTACATCCCACAGTATGAACTGCATTTAGGTAAGGCACAATAAACCAAATAACTGGATTTTACTGAATTATCTTTAAATGCAAGGAGGTGCAAAATTATGTATCCCTTTTCAGTTTCAAAATTTAGACTTGGGATTTACATATGTTGTGCAATATACAGTACCTAATGACGATAACACCTATAAAGGATTTTGATTCCTTATTGGTTGTCAACATAATGACCTTCACAGTCAGTGCATAAGCTCATATGCTGTTTAGTTTCTTTCGAAATTTTGTTTAACATAGCCAAGGTAACAAGTCTCATGATTTTGGTTTCACACATCATCAACAAGGATGTTTCTTGCTTTCATTATATTGCTCCTGTTCTTAACCCCATAAGAAGTCTAATAGAGGGTGAGTAAGTGAGGAGGTACGGTGAAGGGCACACATTCTAAATGCCTGTCTGACCTACAAAAAATGTTATCTGAGTATTGAGGACAACAGCAACCAGTGCAGCAGGACTCCATCTTGCTGCAGAAACCCCTTGATCATCCAGCAGTCATTGCTACTGCATATCAGGCAACATCATCTTCATTGAAATAGCATAGAAGAATTCTCCTATGATGGCATCATTGGGGGAAAAAAGATATCAAAATTGTGCCAGACATCAAACACAGGATATTCACTTTTAAAAGAGTTGCACTTGCATTGTCATTCAAGCATGGAATAAAATGTGGCAGTTCCACTTGTTGATACTTCCTGAGAAAAGAAATGCTTCTGAAAAGAGCAGTTTGGCCAATAGAATTTCTAATGAAAGATCTGTTCTGTCTATTGAGAAAGAACAGAAAAATCTGACATGCTGACATCCTCTTCCTCTGGTTGTCAGTGTTGCTCATACAATCATGCAATGTTTGAACACTGTATGCCTTGAAGTTCAATGTATTTGCCAGTATATGTTGCAGGGATCAGCTGAAGATCTACAATTGCAAAACGCATGTTGATTGCTTGCAGGCTAGCCAGGAAGAACTGTTAAACTTGCAAAAAAATTCTCCTTGGTATACACTCACTAGACTACTTACTTTCTTCTTATGGGTGACAGATTGTTTGTGAAAATTTTTCCTCATCCATCTTAGAGTTTTTATGCCAGAGGATATGGCCCTTGGGAATGTTGCAACAGCTTCAGTGTCTCTGAGATGAAATGGAACACATTCATCCAAGCTGCTAGCTTTACAGCATTGTAATAATGTCAAACACTACCATACAACTGCAATAATTTTGAAACTCAGGACATTTGATTGCCTAACAATGCCTAAGTCCATGGAATCAAAAATCTTTCATGAGGTGTGGTATATTGCACAACATATATGAATCACAAATCTATATTTCAAAACTAAAAAAGAGTACATAATTTACATACCTCCCTATATGTAGAAATTAATGAAAGTTAAATATGGTATTAAAAGTAAATAGAACCATTACAATGTTAAGAATTACTATATAAACTCAAAACTATGCTTTACTGAAGTTTATAAACTTAAATTAAATATCATTTTCTTGAGTACTTTCAGACAATGAACGCATACATCCATTAGGCTCAAAGATTGAAAATACTCAATAAGCAGAAAATGACCAGAATGCATTGTAGCTTTGCAGAAACAGCCATAACAAGAAATTTCCATATTAGCTGCTTATAAACAGCTATGATGGGTCCTGGCACTTTACAAAAAACTGCCATGATACAATATTTATGTAAATACTGTTAAAAAAATTGCAGCAACACATTCCAGCATTACAAACATACCATAACATGATATTACAGAAACAATTATTTAAATATATTTTTATCACACACACATACAGCAATCTACCAAGTTAACTTCATTGAGGAAGAAGAGCTAATCCAATTCAAAGTCAACTCACTCATTTGTCAATTTTGATCTGATATTATATCAGTGAACAGTTTGGATTTATCAGTTTGGCACCAAAAAACTTATTTAAGTGGTTCTATGCTTGCAACAAGTTTACAACTGTTAACAATTTCAATGACATAAATGATGTGCCCCTCAAGTTCACTATCTCTTTGGTCATTCCAAGTATAACATTTGATTTTGCAAGCTAATTTCAGCTTTAGCTTTTCAGAAATTATGAGGGATACATCAATAGAAAAGGCAAATGTCATTCAAAAAATAGCTATAATTTTAATTATCATTCTAACAGTTCCTGAAAAAATAATTCAGGAGTGTCTTATACATATTTATTCAAGTGTCTTGAACTAAATAGCGAGGTTGAGGCCAAAGTTTTAAATGCGAAAATGTGTACGTCAAATGTTCAGCGCCACTTTCCTGTAAGCCTAGAAGTTTGACAATGGTGTTTGAAATGTCGAGCATGATTCCACCAACTATCCAAACACCATTGTCAAACTTCTAGGCTTACAGGAAAGTGGCACCAAACGCCCGACGTACACGTTTTCGCGTTTAAAACTTCGGCCTCAACCTCACTATTTGTTACTATATAACAGGAAATGACTATGATGCACTGTGGTATACCAATAATACTGGAATGTATTTTGGTTATTTTTTTTAAACAATCCAAACAAATTTTACATCATGTCATTTTTTTAGATGACAAAACATGTGAATATAAGTGTTACTTAATTTAAATTAGTGAGTTCTAATAATGCAAAATTTTTGAGTTTATATAGAGCCTACTATAAGAAATTTAAGTTTATTTATTCATTTATTAAGAATTATCAATGAATTCATTTTCATAAACCAATTTATTAAAAATGTCTTTAATTTATTAAAGTTGCTGACTTTTTTAATAAGTTGATAATTTTATGCAGTTGAATTCATTGGCAAACAATTAATAGTTAGGGATATAAATAACACAAATAAATTATATTTAATTTGGATGATGTAACTTTCAGTAGCATAACTGCTACTAAACTAATTTACTCTATATGTTGTAAAAAGTTTTGGATTGGTTTTGTTTTGCAAGGCACCAGATGCCAATGACTACGTGACAGGACAGGCTTCAATTTATCCATTATGGTTTAGTTCTATCTATAAGATTAGGCACCGAAAGATTAAAAAATGAATCATAATCTGAGCTACCACACAAAATCACAAAGATGAGAAATGATATCTGTATCTCATACAGTAATAGGAGATACTTTACCGAATGACGATTCAAACAGTTTTAACAAATTTTTAGGTTAATGTGTACCTAGGTAGTCCAAGATGGTGGCGCTTTGGTTAGGTTACGTTAGATTAACTATATTTTTATTAGATGTTTCCTTTTTTTTTATTTTGTTCAAGAACTACCGTGAATCAATAACTAGTGATGTTTGGCACAAGGCGGCCTGCTGGCAGCTCCCCTCCGGGAGGAGTCCGTCGGGCCCACGAACAGTCGGAAGCGCTGCCATCGGGGTTACCTAGGTACACATTAACCAATTTTTATATTACGAAATTAGCAATTTCATATTATTTCATAAAGAGAAGACAAGAGAACCGATTAACATTTAATTAAAGGAATAAAAAACAGATTTAAAATGTACCTAAAATTACAATTTCTTGTTGAATTTGAAATTTACTGGGTTGTTTCGGTAAGAGTTGTCTCGTTTGAATAAACAAACCCGAGTTATTTCCATTTTCTTCCCAAATATCGACTTGACAAGAACTTAAAACATAACGCTTCTGTAAAATTACACGAACATTCAAATCTGGCGTCAAGCATTCCTGTCTTAACGATTCATACACCGAATCCGAAACGCATTCGTCACTTCTCTCTTTACTATCTACTTCCACAGTCCAAGTATTACATATATCGACACCCATTAAGCGTCGATTAACAATATGGGGTCTTTCTATCCACACTCGTAAGGCTTCCCAAAATCCAGTCTCTTCAATTTCGTTTGACGGAGGTGATATACTTTCCCACATCATTAATTAACAATTAACGTTAACATAAAAATAAACTAGAATATCACACCAATTGACAACACGGACCACGTGTTTTCCACGTGGCTTCGGTATCCTACTAAGATTAAAGCGCCCCCTGAGTTTTCGCCTGTCGATAAAAAGCGCCATCTGACCATTGCGGTAGTTTCATTTGTCACTCGTTGTTGCCGCAATGAATGCGGTCGGTGTTTTAATTTGTAAGTTTTGTTTGTTTGAATTTTTTATTATTTTATTAAACGTTAGTGAGATGAGAATTGAATGAAGGAGACTGCCTGTATGAAGATAATGAGGAAAACCGCTGCGGAAGATCGTATTATTCATCGTCTCCCTCAGGTATGAGGTTTCACACGTGTCAACAAAAAAGTTGTCAATTTCAATGTATTATATTTATCACGTGTTGAAAGACTTTCGATTTATTTAGGCACTCTTTCCGTCCGCTACACCTTACAAAAATTTCGATTTCGACGATGAAGTGAAAGATGCGTGTTTATCTGAAAGATCGGTCCGATTGGGGTATTTTGTTTCTGGTTTTATAAATGCCTTTCAATGATCTAATCGTTTTACACAAATTGGAAAAATCTCTGCATTAAAATCTCTATTTTAAATTGAGTAATTAATACGTTTGTATTCGTCAATTTTATTTCAGACTCAAGATTTCAAAGGCAATCTTTGTTGGAGACGTTGGAGTTGGAAAGACTTGCCTCGTCAACCAGTAAGTTATTTAGAATATGTATATAGAAATTTAAATGTACATATAGATTTTAAATATCTCGTGCTCGTCGTGGAATCAATGGGGTAAGGCAACACAACACGAGGGTAACGTGCCTCTTTGTTGTGAGAAACTGGCTTATATTTACGTGTTAGACATAAGGAAAAAAACCCAAAAAATTTTTGACCAGCATGTTAGTCAGGTGTGAATTCATGACCAACTACTGCTGTTTGGGGGTTTTTATCCTCTTGGCCACTGACGAGCAGTTTCGGTCAGGGCAGCCGTCGGGTGAAAGGATGAAGACTAGCATATCCGAGTCACTTAAGAAAATTTCTGGTAATATGATAAACTTTTCAAGGATGTTAAAAATAAATAGATGTAAAATGAAAGTATTTCATTTAATCTGTGACTTAGTGACACAGCTTCCTTAACAGAAATTTTGACATTCACATGATAATTTATCAAATAAATTTTGTAAATTAATAAGTCACAAAATTATATGGGAAAATATTTGGTTAAATTATTTCACATTACAATTATATAATGGAACAACTGAAAATATTTTACTTGTTAAATTTATAAAAATAAAGTAGTAGTAAATTGTTTGAAACTGAGATACTTAATTACTTTAATTTTAATAAAAAAAATAGAAACAAAAATATTATTGCTAAAATGGGCCGTGCTACTTGATACAAATATTATTATAAATGCAAGAAAATGATTGAACAAAATAACCTTTTTACTGGTTTTGCTGTTTTCTTATCTGAAGTGGATATTTTTTAATCTATCTTGAGAATTACAGATTTGATTTAATGATTCTAAATAGTTATAAACAAAAAAAACATTAAACAAGTTCATTCTAAATCTTAGTTTGTAATCTTATCATTGCATGACTGATAATATGGCTTGTAGAAGAACTGGATAAAATTTTAATAAATTATATAAAAGCTGATGACCTTCTAATGTTCTATAAATATTTTAATAAGATTAATTTTATCAATAATAATGAATTTGTATTAATTACAATTTAAAAATAGTATTTAATTTTATTTTGTATATACATATTACACTCATTATCTGGAAGGAATGGGCGGCAAGTAATATACATAACGTTTATTCGTTTGTCACGGGGCGGGTAGACTTTTGTAAGATAAGGACTACCTATAATACAGTATATTCTGAGTCATACTGCCACCTAACAACAAAAAAGCACTATCCTCGATGACGATAATTACAAATAATGTATTTATTATTAGAAAATATCAAAATACAAGAAACAGTCAATTTAAAATAATATTTTAATGTGAAGTCATGTAAATTTATCCCAAAATTTGGTCAGAATTTGATTACAGTCCACTGCTGGACTGTGATCTTGCCCACACCCAATTTATCAGATTTTTCTATACACCTTTTATAGTGATTTTAATTTAATTTTTATTTTTGTAAAAATATTGCATAAAATAAATTGTTTTTCTGATGACTCGATGTCATNCTCTCTCTCCCCCCCACGGGGGAATTTCGAAAAATCCCGTCTTAATGTGCATTCCCATGGCATACCCTACTAAAATGCAGTTAAAAACAAAAAATTGCATCTAAAATATTACAGTAGAAACTGTTTTTTCTGGTTAAGCCTTAATGTTCTCCCTTTCCCCCGCTGGGGAATTTTGAAAAATCCCTTCTTAATGTGCATTCCCATGGCATACCCTACTAAAATGCAGTTAAAAACAAAAAATTGCATCTAAAATATTACAGTGGAAACCGTTTTTCTGGTTTGCCTTAATGCTCTCCAATGGGGAATTTTGGAAAATCCCTTCTTAGCGTGCATTTCCATGACATACACTAACTGTGTACCTAATTTCACATGTTTCGGTTCAGCGGTTTGCTCTGGGCAATGATGAATCAGTGACTCAGTCAGTCAGGACAAGCAATTTTATATATATAGATTAAGGTAAGATTTATTTATCATAATAATTAACTATTAGTATTATATATAAATAAATATTAAGTAGATTTTATTACTAATACATACTTGAATCAACTTTTTCCAATATTTTTCTTTTAGCCTAGTATATATGGAATAATATCTACTAATAGGTATAATGCTGAGAGATGGTATAGGTTTGGTCTTATTACGTTGTTTTGCCCAATTACAAATTTTACGTAAAACACATGTTTGAAGCCATTGTACACTGTGATTATTGGAAACTTCGCTGTGCTCTGATCTTTTCTCCAATTGAATTCTAAAAATAATGGAAATAAATTATGAATATATAATGTTTATCAATACAGTATTTATATTTTAATAATGTTATATAATAAATTCAAAATCAAATTTTCTAATAAAAAATTCATTATTAAACTACATTTTAAAAAATATCCTAGCTATTCAATATTATAGAATTATGAATTTATGATAAGTAGCAGGAACTTGTTGAAATCAAGTTTTATTCAATTAAAATACAGTCATGGAGCTCAAAGTAAAATTTGGCATTCTACACAAAATCATCAATTCAGCAAGTGTTTTCCAGATCCATCTGCAGATGATTTGCATCTACCTATTCTCCAGTACCATGAGGCTTCTTTCAATTTTGCATCTTAGTCCCAGGGTGGCAATTTAGCATCCTTAAGGCCAACCAACTTTAATTGGTGAAGCTTTGGATTAATAATGACAATAGTGGTGGCCCACCATGTGTTAATCACCTTTTCCAGGGCTTAAAAAACCTTAGACTGACAAATCAGATGTTCAAGTTAACACTTCTTTTAGTTGGCAGGTTTGTTGAGAAATCCATCAATCAGTACTGAGCAATGAATTGAATGGTTAGAATCATGTTTGGTCTCATTGTGCAGTAACCATAAAATAAAAACAGATTGACATTGCAGTCAATATTCAAAAAACTAATTTATTTATTTTCTTTATTTAAATAGCTAGTGTAAGTGTTTGCATTTATTAACATTAAAAAATTAATGCAAAAAGTTTTTTAATTAATGTGTAATTAGATAAAAAACAAAAAGCAGGAACTCAGAGTAGGGATGAGCAGTGGATTGTTCTAACAGTTAAAAAAAAAAAAAAAGCAAATCACTAGATGGCATGGGTGAGCCTGACATGTTTGTCCCATTGACTTAACATTGTACATTTGCAACTCTGCCATGCTTAAACCATTACACCTTTCCCAAATCTCTTTTTCATAGCATCATCTACAGCAGTGGTCCCCAACCCCCGGGCCGCGGACCGGTACCGGTCCGTGGATCAAATGGTACCGGGCCGCCCAAGGAACATTAAATTATTTCCATTTTATTTACTATGGTGTATTTCCTCGGGTTTGTGCGACTTTTAATGGACGACGGAACAACAGAATAAACTGGACGTAAGAAACACACTTCGGGTGTCATTGTCTCCTATTACCCCTAGAGGGAACCGTCTCCTTGCAATGAAACAAGCTCAGGGTTCTCATTGATTTAGCGTTCTAGTGAATTAAAATGTTAAATCACATTATATTCATTTTTTGGTGTAACTGTATTTTATTTTGAAGGCATGTTTAAATACAATTAAATTAAAATTATTAAATTAAGTCAATCTAAAATATAAACAATCAACGTCCCCCCTCAGTGGGCAGCGGTAAAATTATCAAACTATGACCGGTCCGCGGCGATAAAAAGGTTGGGGACCGCTGATCTACAGGGTAAGAGATTTAATTTGATAACTGAACTATGTTTGTACCCTTAGTTGTTCTCTCAAACAAAGCTGACCAATATTTGAGGCTTATCAAATTACCAATAAATATTTAAACATTTGTAATTAAGTTCACATTACCTGTTACAGTCTGTTAATATTATTCTGTAATCAAATTCAGGTGTCAAAGAACAATTATTCTCAAGGCAACATGGTGACAGAAATATAACTTTTCTCTCTTTCCTATCTGTAATAAAAGAAAATATAAATAAAACTATGAACTCTATGAAATGTACCATACATATTGGTTTAATAAAATCTCAGTGAGCTTTCCAATTGAAAACTCTGGTGTGATAAGTCAATAAATTTTATAGCAAATTACATATTTATTGATTTATTGCAATATAAGACAAAAAGCAAATAATTATAATTAATTGATAAAGAATAAATAATGCCTACATCCCACAGTATGAACTGCATTTAGGTAAGGCACAATAAACCAAATAACTGGATTTTACTGAATTATCTTTAAATGCAAGGAGGTGCAAAATTATGTATCCCTTTTCAGTTTCAAAATTTAGACTTGGGATTTACATATGTTGTGCAATATACAGTACCTAATGACGATAACACCTATAAAGGATTTTGATTCCTTATTGGTTGTCAACATAATGACCTTCACAGTCAGTGCATAAGCTCATATGCTGTTTAGTTTCTTTCGAAATTTTGTTTAACATAGCCAAGGTAACAAGTCTCATGATTTTGGTTTCACACATCATCAACAAGGATGTTTCTTGCTTTCATTATATTGCTCCTGTTCTTAACCCCATAAGAAGTCTAATAGAGGGTGAGTAAGTGAGGAGGTACGGTGAAGGGCACACATTCTAAATGCCTGTCTGACCTACAAAAAATGTTATCTGAGTATTGAGGACAACAGCAACCAGTGCAGCAGGACTCCATCTTGCTGCAGAAACCCCTTGATCATCCAGCAGTCATTGCTACTGCATATCAGGCAACATCATCTTCATTGAAATAGCATAGAAGAATTCTCCTATGATGGCATCATTGGGGGAAAAAAGATATCAAAATTGTGCCAGACATCAAACACAGGATATTCACTTTTAAAAGAGTTGCACTTGCATTGTCATTCAAGCATGGAATAAAATGTGGCAGTTCCACTTGTTGATACTTCCTGAGAAAAGAAATGCTTCTGAAAAGAGCAGTTTGGCCAATAGAATTTCTAATGAAAGATCTGTTCTGTCTATTGAGAAAGAACAGAAAAATCTGACATGCTGACATCCTCTTCCTCTGGTTGTCAGTGTTGCTCATACAATCATGCAATGTTTGAACACTGTATGCCTTGAAGTTCAATGTATTTGCCAGTATATGTTGCAGGGATCAGCTGAAGATCTACAATTGCAAAACGCATGTTGATTGCTTGCAGGCTAGCCAGGAAGAACTGTTAAACTTGCAAAAAAATTCTCCTTGGTATACACTCACTAGACTACTTACTTTCTTCTTATGGGTGACAGATTGTTTGTGAAAATTTTTCCTCATCCATCTTAGAGTTTTTATGCCAGAGGATATGGCCCTTGGGAATGTTGCAACAGCTTCAGTGTCTCTGAGATGAAATGGAACACATTCATCCAAGCTGCTAGCTTTACAGCATTGTAATAATGTCAAACACTACCATACAACTGCAATAATTTTGAAACTCAGGACATTTGATTGCCTAACAATGCCTAAGTCCATGGAATCAAAAATCTTTCATGAGGTGTGGTATATTGCACAACATATATGAATCACAAATCTATATTTCAAAACTAAAAAAGAGTACATAATTTACATACCTCCCTATATGTAGAAATTAATGAAAGTTAAATATGGTATTAAAAGTAAATAGAACCATTACAATGTTAAGAATTACTATATAAACTCAAAACTATGCTTTACTGAAGTTTATAAACTTAAATTAAATATCATTTTCTTGAGTACTTTCAGACAATGAACGCATACATCCATTAGGCTCAAAGATTGAAAATACTCAATAAGCAGAAAATGACCAGAATGCATTGTAGCTTTGCAGAAACAGCCATAACAAGAAATTTCCATATTAGCTGCTTATAAACAGCTATGATGGGTCCTGGCACTTTACAAAAAACTGCCATGATACAATATTTATGTAAATACTGTTAAAAAAATTGCAGCAACACATTCCAGCATTACAAACATACCATAACATGATATTACAGAAACAATTATTTAAATATATTTTTATCACACACACATACAGCAATCTACCAAGTTAACTTCATTGAGGAAGAAGAGCTAATCCAATTCAAAGTCAACTCACTCATTTGTCAATTTTGATCTGATATTATATCAGTGAACAGTTTGGATTTATCAGTTTGGCACCAAAAAACTTATTTAAGTGGTTCTATGCTTGCAACAAGTTTACAACTGTTAACAATTTCAATGACATAAATGATGTGCCCCTCAAGTTCACTATCTCTTTGGTCATTCCAAGTATAACATTTGATTTTGCAAGCTAATTTCAGCTTTAGCTTTTCAGAAATTATGAGGGATACATCAATAGAAAAGGCAAATGTCATTCAAAAAATAGCTATAATTTTAATTATCATTCTAACAGTTCCTGAAAAAATAATTCAGGAGTGTCTTATACATATTTATTCAAGTGTCTTGAACTAAATAGCGAGGTTGAGGCCAAAGTTTTAAATGCGAAAATGTGTACGTCAAATGTTCAGCGCCACTTTCCTGTAAGCCTAGAAGTTTGACAATGGTGTTTGAAATGTCGAGCATGATTCCACCAACTATCCAAACACCATTGTCAAACTTCTAGGCTTACAGGAAAGTGGCACCAAACGCCCGACGTACACGTTTTCGCGTTTAAAACTTCGGCCTCAACCTCACTATTTGTTACTATATAACAGGAAATGACTATGATGCACTGTGGTATACCAATAATACTGGAATGTATTTTGGTTATTTTTTTTAAACAATCCAAACAAATTTTACATCATGTCATTTTTTTAGATGACAAAACATGTGAATATAAGTGTTACTTAATTTAAATTAGTGAGTTCTAATAATGCAAAATTTTTGAGTTTATATAGAGCCTACTATAAGAAATTTAAGTTTATTTATTCATTTATTAAGAATTATCAATGAATTCATTTTCATAAACCAATTTATTAAAAATGTCTTTAATTTATTAAAGTTGCTGACTTTTTTAATAAGTTGATAATTTTATGCAGTTGAATTCATTGGCAAACAATTAATAGTTAGGGATATAAATAACACAAATAAATTATATTTAATTTGGATGATGTAACTTTCAGTAGCATAACTGCTACTAAACTAATTTACTCTATATGTTGTAAAAAGTTTTGGATTGGTTTTGTTTTGCAAGGCACCAGATGCCAATGACTACGTGACAGGACAGGCTTCAATTTATCCATTATGGTTTAGTTCTATCTATAAGATTAGGCACCGAAAGATTAAAAAATGAATCATAATCTGAGCTACCACACAAAATCACAAAGATGAGAAATGATATCTGTATCTCATACAGTAATAGGAGATACTTTACCGAATGACGATTCAAACAGTTTTAACAAATTTTTAGGTTAATGTGTACCTAGGTAGTCCAAGATGGTGGCGCTTTGGTTAGGTTACGTTAGATTAACTATATTTTTATTAGATGTTTCCTTTTTTTTTATTTTGTTCAAGAACTACCGTGAATCAATAACTAGTGATGTTTGGCACAAGGCGGCCTGCTGGCAGCTCCCCTCCGGGAGGAGTCCGTCGGGCCCACGAACAGTCGGAAGCGCTGCCATCGGGGTTACCTAGGTACACATTAACCAATTTTTATATTACGAAATTAGCAATTTCATATTATTTCATAAAGAGAAGACAAGAGAACCGATTAACATTTAATTAAAGGAATAAAAAACAGATTTAAAATGTACCTAAAATTACAATTTCTTGTTGAATTTGAAATTTACTGGGTTGTTTCGGTAAGAGTTGTCTCGTTTGAATAAACAAACCCGAGTTATTTCCATTTTCTTCCCAAATATCGACTTGACAAGAACTTAAAACATAACGCTTCTGTAAAATTACACGAACATTCAAATCTGGCGTCAAGCATTCCTGTCTTAACGATTCATACACCGAATCCGAAACGCATTCGTCACTTCTCTCTTTACTATCTACTTCCACAGTCCAAGTATTACATATATCGACACCCATTAAGCGTCGATTAACAATATGGGGTCTTTCTATCCACACTCGTAAGGCTTCCCAAAATCCAGTCTCTTCAATTTCGTTTGACGGAGGTGATATACTTTCCCACATCATTAATTAACAATTAACGTTAACATAAAAATAAACTAGAATATCACACCAATTGACAACACGGACCACGTGTTTTCCACGTGGCTTCGGTATCCTACTAAGATTAAAGCGCCCCCTGAGTTTTCGCCTGTTGATAAAAAGCGCCATCTGACCATTGCGGTAGTTTCATTTGTCACTCGTTGTTGCCGCAATGAATGCGGTCGGTGTTTTAATTTGTAAGTTTTGTTTGTTTGAATTTTTTATTATTTTATTAAACGTTAGTGAGATGAGAATTGAATGAAGGAGACTGCCTGTATGAAGATAATGAGGAAAACCGCTGCGGAAGATCGTATTATTCATCGTCTCCCTCAGGTATGAGGTTTCACACGTGTCAACAAAAAAGTTGTCAATTTCAATGTATTATATTTATCACGTGTTGAAAGACTTTCGATTTATTTAGGCACTCTTTCCGTCCGCTACACCTTACAAAAATTTCGATTTCGACGATGAAGTGAAAGATGCGTGTTTATCTGAAAGATCGGTCCGATTGGGGTATTTTGTTTCTGGTTTTATAAATGCCTTTCAATGATCTAATCGTTTTACACAAATTGGAAAAATCTCTGCATTAAAATCTCTATTTTAAATTGAGTAATTAATACGTTTGTATTCGTCAATTTTATTTCAGACTCAAGATTTCAAAGGCAATCTTTGTTGGAGACGTTGGAGTTGGAAAGACTTGCCTCGTCAACCAGTAAGTTATTTAGAATATGTATATAGAAATTTAAATGTACATACAGATTTTAAATATCTCGTGCTCGTCGTGGAATCAATGGGGTAAGGCAACACAACACGAGGGTAACGTGCCTCTTTGTTGTGAGAAACTGGCTTATATTTACGTGTTAGACATAAGGAAAAAAACCCAAAAAATTTTTGACCAGCATGTTAGTCAGGTGTGAATTCATGACCAACTACTGCTGTTTGGGGGTTTTTATCCTCTTGGCCACTGACGAGCAGTTTCGGTCAGGGCAGCCGTCGGGTGAAAGGATGAAGACTAGCATATCCGAGTCACTTAAGAAAATTTCTGGTAATATGATAAACTTTTCAAGGATGTTAAAAATAAATAGATGTAAAATGAAAGTATTTCATTTAATCTGTGACTTAGTGACACAGCTTCCTTAACAGAAATTTTGACATTCACATGATAATTTATCAAATAAATTTTGTAAATTAATAAGTCACAAAATTATATGGGAAAATATTTGGTTAAATTATTTCACATTACAATTATATAATGGAACAACTGAAAATATTTTACTTGTTAAATTTATAAAAATAAAGTAGTAGTAAATTGTTTGAAACTGAGATACTTAATTACTTTAATTTTAATAAAAAAAATAGAAACAAAAATATTATTGCTAAAATGGGCCGTGCTACTTGATACAAATATTATTATAAATGCAAGAAAATGATTGAACAAAACAACCTTTTTACTGGTTTTGCTGTTTTCTTATCTGAAGTGGATATTTTTTAATCTATCTTGAGAATTACAGATTTGATTTAATGATTCTAAATAGTTATAAACAAAAAAAACATTAAACAAGTTCATTCTAAATCTTAGTTTGTAATCTTATCATTGCATGACTGATAATATGGCTTGTAGAAGAACTGGATAAAATTTTAATAAATTATATAAAAGCTGATGACCTTCTAATGTTCTATAAATATTTTAATAAGATTAATTTTATCAATAATAATGAATTTGTATTAATTACAATTTAAAAATAGTATTTAATTTTATTTTGTATATACATATTACACTCATTATCTGGAAGGAATGGGCGGCAAGTAATATACATAACGTTTATTCGTTTGTCACGGGGCGGGTAGACTTTTGTAAGATAAGGACTACCTATAATACAGTATATTCTGAGTCATACTGCCACCTAACAACAAAAAAGCACTATCCTCGATGACGATAATTACAAATAATGTATTTATTATTAGAAAATATCAAAATACAAGAAACAGTCAATTTAAAATAATATTTTAATGTGAAGTCATGTAAATTTATCCCAAAATTTGGTCAGAATTTGATTACAGTCCACTGCTGGACTGTGATCTTGCCCACACCCAATTTATCAGATTTTTCTATACACCTTTTATAGTGATTTTAATTTAATTTTTATTTTTGTAAAAATATTGCATAAAATAAATTGTTTTTCTGATGACTCGATGTCATTTTTTATATTTAAATAAGAGTTAAAATAAATTTTAATTAAAACTTATAAAAATATTTGTTTTTTACAAAATATTTTTTGTAATAATAATTAGATAAATTAAACAAATTTTTAAATATAATATAATCTTTGGATTTAACAGTTTTTAATGAAAAATTATTAAATATATTATTTATGATAAATAACTGTAATAAGATGATGTATAACTTAGTAAAATATATTTTTATAAATTTATATTTATAGATTTTGCCATGAAATCTTTGATGCCAATTATAAAGCTACTATAGGAGTGGATTTTGAAGTTGAAAGATTTGACATTTTAAATGTGCCTTTTAATTTACAAATGTAAGTTTAAATTAGATTTATTAATGAATTATTAGTTATGAAAGTACTTGATTATGTTAAAATTTACCAAATACTTTAGTAATAAATCAATCCATTTATTTAAATAATTAATTATTTACAAAAATGTACCTTTAAAATGCATTAAAACAGGTCATTTTATTTCTGAATTACATTTTTCTATTTTTACTGTTAGTGTATTTTATGATTGACATAAATTATTGTATCGAAATAATACATTGATTTTATATATGCTATTAATGTATTCACTTTAATACTTCATATCTGTTCTTTGATGATGTCAGCTTTATTCACTTATAAATTGGATAAAGTACACTTTTTACAGATAAACTTCAAAATTAATAGTGTGTTACTTGCTAAAAGACTTGGATAAAGTTAGCAGTAGCCAAGTTAATCCCACTTTTATTCAATTCACAGGCTTTAACTGCAACATATACATTAATAATATACTATTGTTAATAATAGTAGCCATCATATTCATAATAAATATTTGTATTTGATAGAGCTATATTTTTAGATTTTTCATAATAGTTTAATTTCACAAATTCCTTACTAAATTATTAGAGAATTAGATAATATGAAAAAATTTAGAATTATAATTAAGTTAATTAAAATTTAAAAAAAATTGAAATTATCATTTTTTAATTTCTTGAATATTATCTCCAGTAACCTTGAATAGTTTATCACTTTTTAAAGTTATGCAGAGGAACTCATAATATGTTGGAAAAAATAAGAAAACTGCTCACACTGATAAATAATTAAAGAGATGACTGATAGTGTGACATATGACATTAATTAATTATTTTAATTACATACAATGATAATTTTGCAACAGTGATTTAGAAAAGTTTTCAGTTTTGTTATTGGTTTTTTCTAATAAAAACATTGTAATTGTTTCTAATAAAGAAAAATATTTGTACTAATGAACAATTACTTGTCACAATGCCAGACTGCAATTTTTAATCATATTTTTTTTAATTTATTTAATTTAAAATATATGCTCCCCACCTCAAATTAGTAATGTCTTGCCTTATACATCATACTTTTCCCGTTAGCAACAGTCATGCTGTCGTCGATATAACTCCTTACAGGGGAAAATTTTTTAATTGAAATAATGAGACTTCTGGTTTGCATTGGAAGTTTGTATATAGTTAATCTGGGCTTCCTGCCCCTATGTTTCCATATCTGGTCTCAGATTTCATCTATATAAGATTCATTCTTGAGATTAAGGAAAGACAGGTAGGTGGATGGATGACTGGGAATTTATAGGTCTACAATTTTTTTCAAATTGCAGCCCAATTACCATAACTTATTACATCAATATATAAAATCTCTTATTAGTTTATTTTCCATTAATGTGACTTTTTCAAAAATAAAATACAAAATAGAAGATGAAAAAATGATAAGATTAAAAACTTTATTTAAAAAATTATACAATTGTTTTAGTTTGTTATTAAAAATATAATTTTGCCAGTAATATGATAAAAAGTTACATGCTCAGAATAATCAAAGAAAAAAATTAAATGAACTATCCAAATTAATGAAATTCAGAAGTTAGATATGTTTATAAATATGCTGTAAATTTTCTAATCTAGCAGTTGCCTTTATGTAGAATTTTATAATGCACACAATCCAAAGTATTATATAACATAATATTTTGAGTCAGTTTAACCAGATGAAACATTATAAATTTTTTAATTTACAAAATTAATTAATTTAGATAATTCTCTTTCTGATTTATATATATATGTGCATGTGCACTTTTTTAAGCATATTATTAACAGTATTATGTTTTTAATAAAATACTGTGATTTAAAACTGCAAAAAGTACAATTATTATTATACTTTTGATGGAAAATGTAATACGTATATTAAAAATTTATAAAATTAGCTATCTTACTTTTATCATCTTCTAAATACAAAATAAATAATTCATTTTTTAATTTAAAACATATAAAGTAACATAAAATAATTAATAAAATAGATAATTTCTAAACATATGAAATAGTTCGTAGCAGTCAGTACAGTAACCAGGAAGGGCCCTTTGTGAATAAATAAATTAAAAAAAAAATCAAATAAATACAGGAGAAAGATTTGAATGTGACAAATGCACTTGTATACATGTATATATGATATCTAAGTGTGTGCTCTTCATCCACAATGCCAGTGGTTACATCCAGTTCTAGTTATGGTACTGGAATTTCAGTTCTAGTTATGCTACTGGAATTTTATTTTATTATTATTCAGTTTTACTATTGCTTTATTGTTTTTACTAGCTGTTACCTGTGATTTTGTCCATGTGGATTTTTCAAGCAAACCCCATTTATATTCAGTATTTCAACAACCATAGTAATTGTTATATAACACCTACTGCTGAGAATCAAACGAACTGTTTTCAATTTGATAAATTTTCTGGAATGTTTACAATTGTTCTATAATCGAACCAATACACAATAACAAATTTGAATTTAAAACAGTTTGAACATTTGGTTAAAAAATCTAAATATTGTATATAAAAATATTTATAACAATGTCTGAAATGTTATCAATTTAATACACCTTTAATTTAAGTACTCAATGAAAACTAAGTGTAGTTAAAAACAAACAATCACATCTAAATTAGTACAGTAGAAGCCGTTCTTCAGGTTAAGCCTTAATGCTCTCCTTCTCCCCCTGCGGGGGAATTTCCAAAAATCCCTTCTTAGTGTGTATTCTCATGGCATACCCTAACTGTGTACAAAATTTCACCTCTAGGTTCAGCAATTTGCTCTGGGCAATGATGAATCAGTTAGTCAGGACAAGTAATTTTATATATTTAGATTAAGAGAAGGCAATAGTGAAACTGAAAACTCTTCTAATCATTCTTTATTGCAAAATGAATATGATGAAATAAATATTATTAACATTGCTTAATGTTTCTGTAATGTTACAGCAACATTGCTCTTGATTATGACAGTCATCATATACAGTATATTTTTATATATAGCAATATATAATTTATAAAAATTTATTTAATTATATCATCTATTATATGACTTCTGGTGTGAATTGTATGGAATTAGAATTAGTGCTGAACAGTAGGGAAATTTTATATTTGAGTATTTGGGTTAATTCAAGTACAGATAATTAATTTATTCACATATTCAAAATATCTGAACATTATAAAATTTTTTAAACTCCTGTTTAAAATTCTCATTTATATTTAAATCATAATAAAAAAAATAAACAAACAAATGAAAGGGTAAGACATGCTGTTAGTATTAACTAAGTGTTAATACATAAAATTAACTTAAAAATTTAAATAAAGATTTAGCTACAAAGATAAATATTTTAACAACAAATTTGACTGAAAAAAATTACACTATAAGAACAAATACTTATCATAATTGCCACATTAACCTTATCAGAGAACAGTTCCTTGATGAAGTTAACATGGCAATTATGGTAAGTACTTGCATGGAGTTAAAAAACATTTTATTTATTTATTATAATTAATTGCAAATTTTTTCATTTCAATTATTTAAGGAAGTAAATAACAATTCCATTAAAACAAAATAGAACAGACTGAAATATAAGAGCCAGTGTTTCATTACATTAAAAATGTTTTTGGATCTAACATCATGTACTGTACACTATAGTATCTTCCAATAGAACAACTTGCAAATATAAAAAAACTAAATCTATAATTTGGCTTTTAACATTTTTATAGAATGCTATGTTGAAAAAATTGTTAAAATTTCAAATTGAAATTAAACTAGAATCATTGAATATTTGTAAGATTATTTTGTACTTGGTTTCTGTTTATGTGTATGTATATGTGGAAAGATAACTGATTTGTATAGTTATAGCAGGCAAAACTCACTATTATTATTGCCAACTTTCATTGTATTTTTAGTAATTCTTTAAGTTTAAACATCGTAAATTTTAATATAAATATTTTATAAATAAGTAAAGAAATGACTATTTGTTTCAGGAAGTCAATCAACACTTATTAAACAAAGTAAGCATTTTCAATCAAGATCTGACCATCTTCAGCTTAAAATCTTGCATTTAACAGCTTACAATAATGTAGCATAGAATACATACATTATAACAAATTCAAAAAGTTTTCATAATTTTTATATTAAAATTTTATACTGAAATTCAAATTCAAGTGCTTATTCTGTACACAGATATGCATCAAAGTTAAAATGTATTTCTGTAAATAGTATGTAATAGTAAATTGAGTAAAGATGGTTAACCACAGTTTTTTGATCACATTCAATCTGCCCCATCAATTCTCTGGTCGTTTGATGTGGATTTTTGTGAAGAAGTTAATTCATTCTCTTTATTGAACTCAATTGGGGTTGATCCGTCCTTGATGTCAAAATTTCCATTTTTGAAGTGTGAAAACCAACAGCAGGCGGTACTTTGAGGCATTGCTTCTCCATACACAGCACAAATCTCATGAGCAGCCTCAACAGCCGTAACACCTTGATTAAATGCAAAAAGCAAATGGTGTTGAAAATGCTGTTTCTTTCACTTGACATTCCACTTTAATGATCTGAAACTACACAAAAATCAAAACACACTATTTTGTAGAACAAAAAATTTTCTTTCAAATATCATAAAACATTTTACCAATGTGTTTTATAATATTTCTGCATGCATTTTTATGTTTGAAAAAACACTCATGAATTATTCCTCAACCTAATATATTGTGCATAAATAAAGGTTATGCTAGATTTTAATGTAGTTTATATAAAAGTACATTAAAATCTAGCATAACCTTTATTTATGCACAATATTCAGCTGCTTAAAACACTTACTTAGAATTACTTTACTTGTAATAAATGTACATGCATTGTGAAATAAAGACTCTTTATTCATAACACTAGTCTTTTAGATTTTTTTCATGTAGAATTTAAGACGTATCATATATACACTCAAATGTTATCACTGAATAAAAAATACTTTACTTTAATAAAATTGTTTATGTATTTGTTATTTTATTAAAATATACTTATAATAATAATAATAATACATAAATATGTCTTAAAGTTGTTGTTATATAAATTATATCTAGTAAAACAATGTTTTCTGTCAAGAAATTAATTGAAGATCTTGTTTTATATATATCAGATTACTAAATTACTCTGATTTTGATTAACATATTTCCCCCTCTTTTTCTATTAAAATTCATCATTTATATAACTTAAAACATACAAAAATTAGTTTGAATTGTTTTCAGTTTATTTAGCTTATATTATATGAATTTTCTTGTCATATAATTGTATAATAATATTTAGTTAAATAGTATATATAGTATATTTATAATGTTTAATAAGATTGTGTATGCCCCGTGTTTAGATGGGATACTGCCGGACAGGAACGTTTTCGTTGTTTAGCATCTGCCTATTATCGTGGCTCTCAGGGTAATTATTATAATGTTTATTGTATAATATAATAAATTATTTTATTAAAATAAAGATTAAAATTCCAGGATGAAATGTTTTTGTACAATAATGAAAACAAAATTTAAAAATACAGTATATATATTTTTGAGTGTTAAAATCACCAGAACAATATTAATACTAGCTGAATTTACTAAGACACCAACCGAATATCGGGTTTGGTGATGTTTATTTAGCTGAATTTACCCTTTTTATAGGCTGTTCTTCACTTGTATGTAAGCAAATTGTATAACAGTTTCTGTATCATCAAATAATTATAAAAATTACTTTGTGAAATAATTTTTGTCTTCAATATTGTACATTGTATAATTCATTTGAATTTAGTTAAAATATTTTATATTAATGAAATGATTTTAAGCAGGGATGTCAAATTCGTTTACCAGTAGCCACTAGCAATACAAATTTTTATGCAGGCCGCTTAGAAAATTTTATCACGGACATCAAAAACAAAACTGTGCACACAATTCTTTTACTAGTTTGTCTGTAATATCAATAATGTGTACTAAATATTGATAATAGTTAATAAACCGATAATTCTCATACATATTATATTTTTTTAATGTAGAATTTCAATAATTTCAATTTTAAATTGATTAAATGACACTATTGAAATTTGTTTTTTTTTATTTCATAAGCTACATAAAGATATTCTGTGAATCACATATTTTTTATAGACTACAAGTTTGACACCCCTGATTTAAAGCAACATGTAGTATATAAGAGTTATAAACTGAGAATATTTATATTGAATCAAAATTGAAGTAATATAATACAATAATATCAAACTTAATTTATAACATAAAAAATACTTTTGAACTTTGAATTATGCATTTATTTTTGCCAGTTGTAAGTTTTTTCAGGCAAATAATTTAATAAAAAATATTTTTTCCTAACTGATTTGTATAGTTATAGCAGGCAAAACTCACTATTATTATTGCCAACTTTCATTGTATTTTTAGTAATTCTTATTACATGATTTATTTACTGTATTTATTCTTTGTAACAAAATTATATGCTAATGTATATGCACAATGTGTTTTTAAAAGTTTTTTACTTATCAAAAAAGTTGAACCAGTAATTTTTAAGTGCCTTTGATGTTTATCATTACAAGCATTTATCAAAAAGGATGATGATTACATAATTATACAGTAAAGAATCAATAATCTTAAACCATATAGCAGTCTAGATTCAAATTTGATAGGGAATCCATAATTTACAATCTATTATTTATTGTGATATCATCACAATGCTCTCAGTTTCAGGAGTTCTTTGCCCCTGTATATCATACTTTTTCTGTTAATACAATAGTCATGCAAGATATCTGTCTAACTCGTTTCAAGAGAAAATTTTGAATTGAAATAACATGAATTCTATTCCAAGTTGGAAGTTTGTATATAAGTAATCTGGGCCTCCTGCCTCTAAGCTTTCCATATTTAGTCTCAACTTTCATCTATCTAACTCTGTTCTCAAGATTAAGGAAGGACAGATAGACAGACAGATGCCAGTGAGAATTTATAGGTCTGCAATTTTTGAAAATTGCAGCTCAACAATGGATATTTCATATTTGAACATTATTTTTCATCTTTTATCCATGCTGATTATCCAGAACACATGAAACTTGAACTTGGCTATGAAGTTTATTCTGTTCTGGATGCCAAAAACCAAACAATAATAGAAATAACTACATTTATTTCACATTAATTTCTTTTAGTAATAGACTGTCTACTTGAAATGTTTTATATTTTGAATCATAATTTTATCAAACTGTTATTATAAACTGATTATTTTCAATTGAAACTTTTTAGGTAAGTTGTACTGATATACATAAATGATAAAGAATGCATTAAATATACAGAGACAACTCGTAAGTAAGTAGATACTCAAAAATTCGGCAAATGCATGAGGCAATATTAACTTTGAAAAATACATTGCCATATTGGAGAAGTGCCTTCTCCCAATATTCTTTGGTGGGCTGGTTGACAAAGCATCCACTCTGTTCATGGATGATACACTTCCAAAACGATCTAGAACTGGCTGACAACACAAGGCATCTGCAAGATTCTATGGGCCAGTCAGTCACCTGACACGAATCCCATCGAACTCACCTGTAATCTGATGGATCATGCAGTGCAATGATATTTAAGAAAACTCGCTTCCTGTGGAGAGTATTTAGATTGATTGTGTGCTGAGTGGGTCAACATTCCACAGGCCAAGATAGCAGAACTCATTGATTCTATGCCTTACTGGATTAAGTCTTTGAAGAAAGTGAGTGAGTGGTGGGACAACTAGGTTTAATGTTCTTGTGTTGCATTTGTATCATGTGGATACTGTGAAGTAAAAGACAGTTTCTGAAAATAAGACTAATTTACTTATGCATTGTCTCTGTAGTATATGTCTTAAATATATTTTAATGTATAAAAATTAATATAATAAAAGATTATTATTAAGCTATAAAATATTGCTTTATTGGAGAACTCACCAATCTCAGTAAAAAAGATACAAATACTTTGCAATATTACAACTCGCTTTCAGGTGTGCTCAATTACATAATATGTACAAAAACCCAAGTTGAAAACTGATTTTTATGCCGTATTTGGTAATTGAACATTTCTGACAATGAGCCAAAAGGTGTAGAAGTATTTGTATTTTGTTATTTTTTTACTGATGTAGCTGAGTTCTCCAGTAGTCTTGTGAATTGTGATTTTCAAAGTTTTGATGATTATTACATTTCTTCTTTATCATCAATATACAGTAGATTCTTGATTTAATAAACAAGAAATTTCTATTCTAAAAGAAAAATTTTAAACCTTTTCTTTCCACAAATAGAACACACTAAAAAGTTGAATCAGTGAGTATAAATTACACATTGTAGTTAAGATAACAAGTTAAAAAGAAAGTACTGTAAAACTTAATCAAAATAAAAAGAAGTCAGAATTTTATTTTATAGAATTTAGTAAATGTTTTCCTTTTTACTTCTTGTTTTACTTCATTAGTTGTTTTATTTATATTTATATACAGTAGCACCTCAGGATACGAAATTAATCCGTTCCTAAACTGAGATCGTATCATGAAAATGTCGTAAGGTGAATCATTTTTCCCCATACGATTACATGTAAACCAAATAATTCGTTCCAACACGAAAAACACATTCAAATTAAAGCTAAGTAGTACATTGAAAAAAAAAAAAAACTTTAGTAAGGAAAACACTGAAAAATGCATTTTGTAGTTGTAAATGTATAAATAACCATAATAGAATANTGCATTATAAAAAGGTAAAACTTTTCTACTGTAATGAGATTTTATAATTTTTTGACCCTAGAGACAACTCTTGTAATATGCAACTCCATTGTTTGATTTTCAGATATTTTTATATGTATATTTTAACTCTGTCCTGAGGACACTAAATGAGCCTCTTTCCATATCCATTATGGATTTGGCCAGGCCCATGGTGGAAGTGGCCAGATGGTAAGAGACAGATCTGCCATATCTGGGATAGACAACCACAAAAAATTCCTGTGGAATTGTTTACCTGTATTTGATCCTGGACCTTCAGAGCAGTAGATTGATCCCTAACTGTCTCAGCCATTTGGCCATTGACTTTCAGATGTTTGACTTTTGTACATGTTTTTAGGAACACGTTACATATAAAAGTTGGGGGTTGGCTGTAATTATTTAAATATTTTGATTTAAAAAAAATATATATTATTTAGGAGAATTTAAAATTTAATAAATTAACAAACACTGTTATTTTAGTCAGATGCGACATACAGTATTGTTGAAAAAGAAGCTATCATTCTAGCTAATAAACTGCAAGCAGAATACTGGTCAGTTTCATCAAAAACAGGTAAAACTATATCAAAATTAGTTTATAATACTGTCATATGCTTATATGACAGTATGAATAATTAATTTAATTTAAATTAAATCTTAAGCATATCTCACAAATGTTTGTTTTTGCTTGTATTTATCTATATCTTCTATTTTATTTATTAATAAAATTTTATTTTATAAACATCTTACAATCATATTTTGATTAAAAAATAAGTTTATATAGTATATAATTATTTTCAAACAACAATAATTAATTCCTCTATCTTTGAAACAGTGGCCGAATGAAAAATTAAACATTACATATGCAGTTAAAATGCTAAAAGGCCCACCCGTGGCCGAGCGGTTTTGTTCCCCGAACAACGGGAGTTTAGTTGCAGTTCACTCCCGGTCGGGACGGGCTGGCTTCGTGGGGTTTTCCGGATTTTCTCCACATCCGTAATGCCCGAATAGGAGCCAGTCACCCTTAAAAAGACCTTCCGGAAGGCAGATCGCCCAAGTGTTACATTGCCATAACATTGCCATTTTGTTTATTAAGATAAACAAACAGACAATAAAATGCTAAAATAAATTTATTTAAATGAAACAAAACTGTTTATTTTTAAAAATATCAACAATAAATATATAGATTTTCAGTCTTAACATAAATCTTGTAACAGATGGTGCCACATACAATTTTAAAGTTTGACTTGGAAACTTATACAACTTGTTGCTGGGATTTTTTCTTTCTATCTTGTGGCCACTGAGAGGGCTTTTTAACCAAGCCCATCGCAGGTTTGGCCAGGTGGTTTAGGACAGATTACCCTGAAAAATTCCTGGAGTCTTTTTACCTATCCGGATTCATTCCTGGGTTTTCTGGAATAGTGGGCTGACACCCTAACTGCTCAGCCATTGAGCCATTGAGATTAAACATTAATGGCTATCATGTTTTAAACTCAAAATATAATTTTAATTGACATCTATTGAAAAAAAATACCTTGATTTATTTTTTAGTTTGTAAAAAATTATGTATATAAATTTAATTATTAATAAATATTTCTGAAAATATAAATTCTTTTTTTATATTGAATTTTTTTATATGGAATCTTTAAGATGTTAACATTCAGTTTTCTAATATTTCATTTTCTTGAATAAAACAACTTATAAGTTTAAAGAGAAAAAATTATAATATTTTTAGAAAAACAAGTTTAAAAATGATATCATTCATAAATTTGATAACTTTTTTCAACTTGATGTTAATAAATACCAGAAAAGTTAAAAAAATCCAAGTAGACAAAGAAATCTTAGAAAATATAAAAATAAATTTAAATAGTATAAATAAAATTTGACTAAACTCTTTCAAGAAACCTTACTAGAAAGAAGTGCTTTTTATCAGAACTATTTTTAGTAAATTAAAAAATTTTTTCCTTAAAATGACTACTACTTTGTATAAAATGAAATATAACATCACTTCCAAACACCTGATGGTATTTGGAAATTATGTTTAAATGTATTTATATTGAATTTGTTGATAGCATACAATATATATATATTACAGGATTACAGTGGGGGAAAAGAATATACAGTATATATATTATTTTTTGCAGGAGAAAATGTAAAGGACTTCTTCTTTCGATTAGCCGCTCTGGCTTTTAATTTTTCAGTCCTCAGGGAGTTGGTTTCTCCAAGTAGAAAAGAAATATCGGAAGATTTTGTCAGTAAGTGATACCGTAATTCTTTGGGTAACTCAAACTATTTTATTTTTATATTAATAATTATTTTGTAGGATTGCACAACAACAAAGATACTTTTGAAGTAAAGAAATCAAAATGTTCCAGTTGCAGAAGATGAAGTAATGCAGTTATTTGTGCCTGTTTTTAGTCCATCAAAAGTCATTTTTTTATATATTTGCCATAAAGTTTCAGTATTTTTTATTTAGTTTTATTAAAAACACTCACAAATATTCAACGCACCAAATTGATATTTTTCCACATTATACGACATATCATACATCGGTGCCGAAAACGTATACTCAGAAATTTTGACTCTGGACTTGCCATACTCTTGCAATTTAAACAATATTTGCTACTCTAATTGTTACAGTTTAATAAGAAGTAATTAAAATTGCAATATTTAAATTGAATTTTATGAAATTTAAAAAATTAATACTCATATATTCACATTCTTTTAAAGAAAAATTAGTATTTATATATATATTTTGAATTAAAATTGGATCATTTATGTTTCAGGTATTCTTCTTTGATAAATTTTCACGTTTCTTATATAAAATATCCAAATATCTGTCATATTAATGCGTAAAATTGTGTATAACACTTCATAAAGTTGTTTGCGCATACAAATGTATTCTGTTTTTCTGTCTGAAGTGTACATGTTTTTAGGAACACGTTACATATAAAAGTTGGGGGTTGGCTGTAATTATTTAAATATTTTGATTTTAAAAAAATATATATTATTTAGGAGAATTTAAAATTTAATAAATTAACAAACACTGTTATTTTAGTCAGATGCGACATACAGTATTGTTGAAAAAGAAGCTATCATTCTAGCTAATAAACTGCAAGCAGAATACTGGTCAGTTTCATCAAAAACAGGTAAAACTATATCAAAATTAGTTTATAATACTGTCATATGCTTATATGACAGTATGAATAATTAATTTAATTTAAATTAAATCTTAAGCATATCTCACAAATGTTTGTTTTTGCTTGTATTTATCTATATCTTCTATTTTATTTATTAATAAAATTTTATTTTATAAACATCTTACAATCATATTTTGATTAAAAAATAAGTTTATATAGTATATAATTATTTTCAAACAACAATAATTAATTCCTCTATCTTTGAAACAGTGGCCGAATGAAAAATTAAACATTACATATGCAGTTAAAATGCTAAAAGGCCCACCCGTGGCCGAGCGGTTTTGTTCCCCGAACAACGGGAGTTTAGTTGCAGTTCACTCCCGGTCGGGACGGGCTGGCTTCGTGGGGTTTTCCGGATTTTCTCCACATCCGTAATGCCCGAATAGGAGCCAGTCACCCTTAAAAAGACCTTCCGGAAGGCAGATCGCCCAAGTGTTACATTGCCATAACATTGCCATTTTGTTTATTAAGATAAACAAACAGACAATAAAATGCTAAAATAAATTTATTTAAATGAAACAAAACTGTTTATTTTTAAAAATATCAACAATAAATATATAGATTTTCAGTCTTAACATAAATCTTGTAACAGATGGTGCCACATACAATTTTAAAGTTTGACTTGGAAACTTATACAACTTGTTGCTGGGATTTTTTCTTTCTATCTTGTGGCCACTGAGAGGGCTTTTTAACCAAGCCCATCGCAGGTTTGGCCAGGTGGTTTAGGACAGATTACCCTGAAAAATTCCTGGAGTCTTTTTACCTATCCGGATTCATTCCTGGGTTTTCTGGAATAGTGGGCTGACACCCTAACTGCTCAGCCATTGAGCCATTGAGATTAAACATTAATGGCTATCATGTTTTAAACTCAAAATATAATTTTAATTGACATCTATTGAAAAAAAATACCTTGATTTATTTTTTAGTTTGTAAAAAATTATGTATNTGTAAAGGATTTCAAAAAATTATTTTGTTTTATATTTTTTATTTTTTTTAGTTATAGTTATTGTATTTGACATATCAAATTTATTAAGCCTTCAGAATTGTGCAATGTGGTATGAAGAAACTCATAAGAACAATTATAAAGATCCTGTTGTTTTTCTTGTTGGAACCAAAAAGGATTTAGTGGTAAGAATTATTTAACTAAAATAAATTTCTTAGGGTAATTCAGTTATAATTATCTTAAGTTTGTTACTGTAATTTATTATTCAAAAACCTTTTTACTCTAATTAGTATTGACATAAGGCTCACCAGTGGCCAGGTGGTTCCATTCCCTGAACACTGGGAGTTCGGTCATGGGTTTGCACCTTGCCAGGATGGGCTGGTCACGTGGAGTTTTTTGGGTTTTCTCCACATCTGTAACGCCTGAATAGGGGCCAGTTACCCTTAAAAAGACCTCCCGGAAGGCACCCCCTAGGCAGATCGCCCAAGTGTTGCATTGCCATACTTTACTTGTTTGTTTTGTTTTGACATAATTTCTTTGTCGTAAATGCTTATATTATAGATAATTATAATATTTAAATTAATAAATTAAATTAAATTTTAACTTATAAATCTTCCTATATTGAAATTTTTAACAATGTTAGATCACAGATACGTTCATTAAAAGTGCAAGACATGAATTCAACTGAAGTAACTATCTCTATCGCAATTTGGAATAATTGAAACATTTTGACATAATTATCTAAATAATTTAATAGTTAGAATCAATTAATGTAGAAGAAATGAATGATCCAGTGCAGAATTCAAATGTAAGATCATAAACCAGACAAATACCTCATCAGTTATGAAAAATAAATTATTGTCTGCAATAATCTTCCTGGGTATTTTGATTGTAGCCAATATTTAAAATTTTTTATTTTTAAGATAAAATAAAAATGAGATAAATCTTTGTCAGGCTGAAAACTTGAAAAAAAATTCAAAAATAAAACTAATGTATAATACAACCACCACAAAAACTGGATAATTAATACTGGTAACACAAATCATTTAAAGATCAATGTTGGATGTTATGTTCTATTTTCACACACTATGGCTTAATCTGACAATGATAACTGAAAACTGTTTAAAATGTTTGTTTATTGATTAATATTACATGTTTTTTACTGAAATTTGATTAGTTTTAAATAACACAAAATTAAAAGTTGTTTTATTCTTACATTTTTTTCAAGTTTTTAGATTGGAACAGATATTTAATGATTTAAATAACAATAAATTAAACAGTTTTTCCTCCTACTCTGTACTGAGAAAGCCCTTTTCAGGCCTGTAATGGGATAGCCAGGTGATGAAGAACTGGGTCAAACCACCCAGGAAACCTTGAGCATTGTACTCTTATTTGATTCCTATCTCAGAATATTAGGCTGACTGTTTTAATGCCTCAACCATTCAAATAAATGAAATAAGTATTACTGAAAAATATAAATCTGCATTCAGACATAGTATAATTATCTTAGTTAAATATGATTTTACTGCTATCTGATAATTTTAGAAAAGAAAATTTATGATATTTTTGAAATTGAAATATATATAATATGATTAATAATATATATTAATATAAATATATATTATATGTAAGCACTATTTTATCAAGTTGTAAGTAGACTAGATCTTAATTAAAGAATTTAAGTAATTTGTCTGAAGGTTGGTGGTTAAGCTGCTTTCTTGTATCAATATTAATGGTCTACCTTTAAATCAAATTACTTTAAAATTAAAATCTAGTTTATTTATAGTCAGATAAAATCTGGAGTTTAGTTATTTATTTATTTATTTAGTTAATTAGTAGAAGGTTATCAAAATTTGGGATTAATTATGCTGTGTACTTTTTTGCTGATAAATTTTAAGTCCTTTGACATAGCAGCCATTTGCACTGCTATGTGATGTAATTTGTGTAATAAATGTGTAAACAAATACACATTAATAATAAATACATGCGTATGTAAGAAACTCTTACTATTAAAGGGGAAAAAATTCAGTTCACCATTGCATAAAAAAATACAGAAAATTTTACATTCTTGGTACTACAAATGGTTGCTACATTAAAAGACTTCTGGGTCACCTGGCATATATGGAGAAAAACAAATTTTCTGTTTTTGTTTTAATATTTCAAATAATGTTTTATGCATTATAAAAAGGTAAAACTTTTCTACTGTAATGAGATTTTATAATTTTTTGACCCTAGAGACAACTCTTGTAATATGCAACTCCATTGTTTGATTTTCAGATATTTTTATATGTATATTTTAACTCTGTCCTGAGGACACTAAGTGAGCCTCTTTCCATATCCATTATGGATTTGGCCAGGCCCATGGTGGAAGTGGCCAGATGGTAAGAGACAGATCTGCCATATCTGGGATAGACAACCACAAAAAATTCCTGTGGAATTGTTTACCTGTATTTGATCCTGGACCTTCAGAGCAGTAGATTGATCCCTAACTGTCTCAGCCATTTGGCCATTGACTTTCAGATGTTTGACTTTTGTACATGTTTTTAGGAACACGTTACATATAAAAGTTGGGGGTTGGCTGTAATTATTTAAATATTTTGATCAGAAGCTAAGACAAGTATATTCATTTTTTAAACATTATAATCACTCCATTATAAAATTTTCAAAATTATCTTTTATCTTCACGAAGTNAATAAACTGCAAGCAGAATACTGGTCAGTTTCATCAAAAACAGGTAAAACTATATCAAAATTAGTTTATAATACTGTCATATGCTTATATGACAGTATGAATAATTAATTTAATTTAAATTAAATCTTAAGCATATCTCACAAATGTTTGTTTTTGCTTGTATTTATCTATATCTTCTATTTTATTTATTAATAAAATTTTATTTTATAAACATCTTACAATCATATTTTGATTAAAAAATAAGTTTATATAGTATATAATTATTTTCAAACAACAATAATTAATTCCTCTATCTTTGAAACAGTGGCCGAATGAAAAATTAAACATTACATATGCAGTTAAAATGCTAAAAGGCCCACCCGTGGCCGAGCGGTTTTGTTCCCCGAACAACGGGAGTTTAGTTGCAGTTCACTCCCGGTCGGGACGGGCTGGCTTCGTGGGGTTTTCCGGATTTTCTCCACATCCGTAATGCCCGAATAGGAGCCAGTCACCCTTAAAAAGACCTTCCGGAAGGCAGATCGCCCAAGTGTTACATTGCCATAACATTGCCATTTTGTTTATTAAGATAAACAAACAGACAATAAAATGCTAAAATAAATTTATTTAAATGAAACAAAACTGTTTATTTTTAAAAATATCAACAATAAATATATAGATTTTCAGTCTTAACATAAATCTTGTAACAGATGGTGCCACATACAATTTTAAAGTTTGACTTGGAAACTTATACAACTTGTTGCTGGGATTTTTTCTTTCTATCTTGTGGCCACTGAGAGGGCTTTTTAACCAAGCCCATCGCAGGTTTGGCCAGGTGGTTTAGGACAGATTACCCTGAAAAATTCCTGGAGTCTTTTTACCTATCCGGATTCATTCCTGGGTTTTCTGGAATAGTGGGCTGACACCCTAACTGCTCAGCCATTGAGCCATTGAGATTAAACATTAATGGCTATCATGTTTTAAACTCAAAATATAATTTTAATTGACATCTATTGAAAAAAAATACCTTGATTTATTTTTTAGTTTGTAAAAAATTATGTATATAAATTTAATTATTAATAAATATTTCTGAAAATATAAATTCTTTTTTTATATTGAATTTTTTTATATGGAATCTTTAAGATGTTAACATTCAGTTTTCTAATATTTCATTTTCTTGAATAAAACAACTTATAAGTTTAAAGAGAAAAAATTATAATATTTTTAGAAAAACAAGTTTAAAAATGATATCATTCATAAATTTGATAACTTTTTTCAACTTGATGTTAATAAATACCAGAAAAGTTAAAAAAATCCAAGTAGACAAAGAAATCTTAGAAAATATAAAAATAAATTTAAATAGTATAAATAAAATTTGACTAAACTCTTTCAAGAAACCTTACTAGAAAGAAGTGCTTTTTATCAGAACTATTTTTAGTAAATTAAAAAATTTTTTCCTTAAAATGACTACTACTTTGTATAAAATGAAATATAACATCACTTCCAAACACCTGATGGTATTTGGAAATTATGTTTAAATGTATTTATATTGAATTTGTTGATAGCATACAATATATATATATTACAGGATTACAGTGGGGGAAAAGAATATACAGTATATATATTATTTTTTGCAGGAGAAAATGTAAAGGACTTCTTCTTTCGATTAGCCGCTCTGGCTTTTAATTTTTCAGTCCTCAGGGAGTTGGTTTCTCCAAGTAGAAAAGAAATATCGGAAGATTTTGTCAGTAAGTGATACCGTAATTCTTTGGGTAACTCAAACTATTTTATTTTTATATTAATAATTATTTTGTAGGATTGCACAACAACAAAGATACTTTTGAAGTAAAGAAATCAAAATGTTCCAGTTGCAGAAGATGAAGTAATGCAGTTATTTGTGCCTGTTTTTAGTCCATCAAAAGTCATTTTTTTATATATTTGCCATAAAGTTTCAGTATTTTTTATTTAGTTTTATTAAAAACACTCACAAATATTCAACGCACCAAATTGATATTTTTCCACATTATACGACATATCATACATCGGTGCCGAAAACGTATACTCAGAAATTTTGACTCTGGACTTGCCATACTCTTGCAATTTAAACAATATTTGCTACTCTAATTGTTACAGTTTAATAAGAAGTAATTAAAATTGCAATATTTAAATTGAATTTTATGAAATTTAAAAAATTAATACTCATATATTCACATTCTTTTAAAGAAAAATTAGTATTTATATATATATTTTGAATTAAAATTGGATCATTTATGTTTCAGGTATTCTTCTTTGATAAATTTTCACGTTTCTTATATAAAATATCCAAATATCTGTCATATTAATGCGTAAAATTGTGTATAACACTTCATAAAGTTGTTTGCGCATACAAATGTATTCTGTTTTTCTGTCTGAAGTATAAGACAGATGTAAAATTTACATTTTATATTTATAAATGCTAATTTTTAATGGTTTCGTAAGAATTCCAAAAATATATTTACTTTCTTTTATTTTCAAATAATTATAAAAATGTTCATTTAGTTGTATATTTTTCTGTTTAAAAATAAATTTTGTAAAATAGCAAATTACTTTTTAATTGACTTATTATATAAAGAACACTTTCTATGTTGAAAATCTCACTAATTACTAAAATATAAAAAAAGAAAAAAATGAGGACGAGAAGAGTTCAGAAGGGATTTCTTAATTTAGAATATTCATTTGTTTATTTTAATTTTTATTCTTAAGTTTATTTAATTTTTGGAAGCACCATTAATGAAAAATTACTTCTTTGTGCTATTTATTGTCAATGTTATTTGGTACAGTGCGATAAAAT